TATACACTACATTATGTTTACCCATTCATCTGTTGATGGACATTTGGGTTGTTAACACTTTTTGGCTGTCATGAATAATGCAGCTATGAACACATGTGTGCCAATATCTGTTCAAGTCTCTGCTTTCAGTTTTTTGGGGTATATACCTAGAGTGGGATTGCTGGTTCATATGCTAATTGTGTTTAATTAAAAAAAATTTTTTTTAAATCATGGTAAATTTTACCACATTTTGTTAAACAAAATTTACCATCTTCACCTTTTTAAGTGTACCTATCAATGGCATTAAGTACATGCATGTTGTTGTGCCAGCAACACCACCATCCATCCACAGAACTTTTTTTTTATCTTGCAAAACTGAGTCTCTATACCTATTAAACGGTAGCTCTCCCTTCTTCCTCCCCCCATCTCCTGGCAGCAACCATTTTGCTTTCTGTCTGTATGAATTTGATTTCTCTGGCTACCTCATATAAGTGAAAACAACCCTTTTGTGGTTGACTTATTTCACTTAGCATAAGCTTCTCAGGGTTCATCCATGTTGTACCATTCAGTGAAAATATCTGTTCAAGAATAGATGTTTCATGAACAGACACAAGGAATATCTTGTGGGATGCTGATATTCTCTTCCTTTTATGGCTGCATAATATTCCACGGTGTGTGTATATACTCATTTGTTCACCCATTCATCTTTTGATGGATACTTGGGTTGACCATGTATATGAGGATTTATTTCTGGGCTCTCCATATGTGTGTTTATTAAAATGGGATATATTAATGCTTGATACTGATGGCAATAATACAGTAGAGATGAATAGGAAAGGGGATAATTGCCAAATACATAGGATTCTCTTAAATAAAGATGACAATATAATAGAAAAATGAGTAAAGGTTATGATTAGGTTGTTAACCTAAGTAGAAATACAAAAAGGCAGTAAATGTATGAAAAGATACTCAACCATATCTAGTTGTCAAGGAAATAAAAATTTAAAACCAAAAGAAATAATGCTTTTTGGATGGACTTTTGCAAAAAGCTTTTTTTACATATTTCTGCAGATACTTCCCCTGTTGTCACTTGTTTTTGTTTTCTGCTAAACGTGAAATTTTAAATTTTTAAATTTCAAGATCTATTAATAGTATTCATGGTTTGGGGATTTAATGTTTTTATTTGGAAGGCCTTTTCAACTCCAAGTTTATAAAAACAACACTTATTTTCTTAGTTCTATTTTTGTTTTTTAACTTTTTTACATTTAGGTCATTATTCCATATGTAATTTGTTTTCTCCATGATGGTGTGTGAGGTAATAAGTTCAGTGATCCACCCCACTGCCTGACCCACCCACGCAAACGAAACATGTTTTTTGAAGAATCTGCTCTGTTCAACAATATGGAACTCATCCTTTATATTATAGACCAAACTGCCATATTTACATAGTTCTGTTTTTAAATTCATTCATAGAGGTTGAACCAGGTGAAATTGCCAATATGAGACTTTTTGTTTGTTTGTTTGTTTCTGGCCACACCACTCGGCTTGCAGGATTTTAGTTCCCCGACCAGGGATCGAACCTGTGCCCTCTGCAGTGGAAGCACAGAGTCCTAACCACTGGACTGCCAGGGAATTCCCAAGAAACCATTTTCTTTCCTT